CGGGAGCTGGGTGCACGGGCTGCCGGGGCGTCGCGTCCGCATTCCCGCGCCGTGAGGCCCCTTCCTCTGGCCTGTGTGTAGGGCCTCTGTTCGCCCCTCCCTGGCTCTGGGCTCCCAGGCTCCTGGGCTGACCTTGGCGTCTCCAGGAAACGCAGAGGCGCCCAGCCCGTAGTCATGACAACAGGGCAGGGCCTTGGCGCCGCTTTAGGATGATTGACGTCGGGGATCTGGTTCTGGCTCCAAGCCAGGCATCCAAAGGCACAGGCTCGGGATTAACCCCTCAGGGCTGAGGGTTAGAGGGCTGGCAGGGTTGGGGTTACCCATCCACCTGGTCACTCCCGGGCCTGGACCCCCTAGGAGTCCAAGCCCCCCATGCCTTCCGACTGGGAAATGACTTGGTGCCGGCTTGTGGCCAAGAGGGGGGCTCGCCTCCCTGCGGGTGGACAGACCCAGGACTCAGGGGTCCCCTCTCCCCAGCCCAAGGCCACACCTGTCCCCGAGGGGCCGTGGTGTTCAGTGCGGGGTGTCGGCCTCCAGAAGGGACTTGGTTTTGGGAACTGGGCCAGAGAGGCCTGTGACCAACCCCTCTTGGGCACCAGGCTTTGCCGTGATGGGCATGCCCACAGGCGGGTACATGTGGGACTTGGGACCAACCGGCAGCGCCAGCCCGCCCGCCCTCCAGTCCCTGCCTGGAGCCCCACGTCTAGTACCCCGGTTTGGTTCCTCCACTTGGGGAAGGAAGGTGGGGCCTGGGGACACGTGTTAGGGGTCCACTGAGCTGCCAGCAAGCCAGGGGACATGGAGCTGGGGTGGGCTGCAGGGGCACCGACGCAGGTGACCACCTGCTGCTTGGGCCTGTGCCAGCTGGGGATGGGAGCTGGGTCACAGTCCTTCAGCGGGGACTCCAGAAGCCAGGGTCCCCGGGGTGGCCCGAGGCTTGCCAGGGCTACTTCACTGGGCTGGGGTAGGGCAGTGGGCTACCTGCCTACAGAGCCCACGCCCTGTGAGTGGATGGAGGGTCACAGCCTGACCAGCTGGCAGCACAGTTCCCGCAGCCACCTCCCGAGGAGATGGACAGGCTGGGCAGGAAGTGTCCTGACCTGGCCTTAGAGCATCCCCACCTTTGCAGAGCGCTGCTGCCACCCCCAGTCCGGTGATGGGGACCATGACCCCGAGCGATGTGATGACCTCAGGCCCCATGGGGCCTGGCTTTTTCCAGGTGCGACCAGGCTGGGGTGGACTGGTGTTTGAGAGTGGGGCTTGGGGGCTGTGGCCCGGGCTGGGGCCTGCACAGGTGTGGGGCTGAGGTGCCCTCCCCCCTGCCTCGGTGGAGCCCCCCCAGGCTCTACTGAACCACGGGAAATGGCTTCCAGTGCCTCCTGCCCGGCCCATCTGGCTTTCCTCTGGGGGCACCCTAGCTCCGACCACCCCAACGCCCAATCTCCCTGTGATGGGCCAGGTCAGGCCTTGGGGTACCTGCCCTTTCCTGCCTAGCCTGCAGGCACATCTGCCCACTGTCTGCGCCAGTGAGCGGGAACCTGGGTGGAGACCCAGGTGTAGCAGAACAGAACTGGGGTCACTTTGGGGGGCTGGGTGGGTGGAGGAGCTGATGCCCACCTCTGCTTCCAGCCTTTCATGTCACCACGGTTCCCGGGGGGCCCCCGACCTGCACTGAGGATGCCCAGTCAGGTGAGGGCATGAAGGCCAGGGGGCGGAGCCGGGCGGGGGTCCAGGTGCCCCATACTCAATGCTGCCCCCTCCACAGCCTCCTGTGGGGCTCCCCGGCTCCCAGCCCCTGCTCCCCGGCACCATGGACCCCTCCCCACGCATGCAGGGTGAGTAGGGCGCTCCACCCCATCCAGCCCTCTGACCCCCAGCCCCTGGGAGCAGCCGCTGAGCCCTTCCTCTGCCCACCCCAGGGCCGAGCATGGGCGGCCCGATGCAGAGGGTGACACCACCCCGCAGCATGGCCAGTGTCGGGCCCCAGGTAAGGCCGCCGGGAGGGTAGGGCGGAGGCTGCCCCATACGGCCCGGTGTGACTCAGGCCTTTGCCTTCGCAGGGCTACGGAGGTGGCTTGAGGCCCCCGCCCAACGCCCTCGCCGGCCCTGGCCTGCCTGCCATGAACATGTAAGGCCCCGAGTGGGTCCCAGACCCTGTCCCCCAGCCTCCTGCCCCCTGCCGGGGCACCTCAACTCTCGGGGAGGTTTATTCTGTCAGTGTGAGCCCGGTAAACTAAGGCAGCTCGGTCCCGTGAAAGAATGAGTGACGGTCGGGTTGGAACTGACATGGAAGAGGCCACAACTGGGCCCAAGTGCTGTACAGGGAGCCGCGTCATTCCCAGCCTGTCCCCTTGCTCCAGGTACCCCTTTTTCTTCCAGGGGTCCAGGAGTGCGGGGCCCTTGGGCCAGCCCCAGCGGCAACTCGGTGAGTCCCGGCAGGAGTGGGTGTGGCGGG